CAGGGTGTGGTGGGGTGGGGGACAACACAACGGGCAAGTTAGCCTAGAGCGAGAGCCCCTTCTTTCTGATCGCCAAGGCCGACTTATCAACATTGCTAGTGCTAGAGAAAGAAACCTGATTCGATTTTTGATCAAGTAAGATCTAGAGATCATGTTGAACAAATCATCATCAGGGGAATACAAAAAGAAATAAACAGAACACCATACTGATACTGATAGATCAGGCCTACTTTCCTATTTCCCTTGAATTTATTACTGGATCCCTTGTAACGAGAATCCTGCTATAACGGACATTTTGCACCGGTCCCCTCCCTCTCGTTATAACAGGATTCCACTGTAAATAAATCTCTCCTTTCCTGTCGAACATCCACATGTGTATCTTCCTTATCTTCCTCCTTTTTTGGGTATGATACTCTTTTGTAACACTTCAAATCTTCAGTACATGTGCATATGTACTTTTGTGACCTAATTGTGTTGCAAGTGCCGTAAAAATTACTAAACATAAACTTGCACAACTTCAACTCTACAGAGAAGTCCACTTATAACGAGGTCTGTTATAAGTTATACACTTCTTAACTAAAACCATGTTTTTTCCCTTCTTTATTGTAAATAAAATACTGCTATAGCGCAATCAGACAAGCACGCGAGTTGGTTATAGCACAATACATGTACATGTATTGCTGCTGCGGTGCACAGCGCACAGGCCATTGATACATAGCCTATCTATATAATAATAGTATAGAGGTAAAACCTTGGCATTTGTTGAGAAACTTGTTGGTAACTATCGAAACAAAGAATGGGAGAGCCCACGTGTGCCAACAATGAAGGCCAGAGCGAATGTATGAGTGGGGTGGGTGTGGTACATATGTATGCACAGACAAGCAGAATGCATCGTGTGATAGGCCAGCCAAGTCCAGACTGATTATCTAGGCCTACCACTACCATGCTGAAAACCACATGGTTGTACTTAGAGTGTTTTTATGTTGAGTATGGTATGAAAGTAACGAGTATCAGCTGCACTCGAAACAGACCACATGACAAATAATTGAAACAGTCATAACTCATTACCTGTTCTTCTCAAACCTATAAAACTATACATTTTTCTGAAAGGTAATTGAAAAACTCATATTTCTGC